TGGGTTCAAGCAGTTCTGCCTCAGCCTCCCGAGCAGCTGGGACTACAAGCATGCGCTACCATGCCCAGCTAATTTTTTTTTTTTTTTTTTTTTTGTATTTTTAATAGAAACGGGGTTTCACCGTGTTAGCCAGACTGGTCTCAAACTCCTGATCTCGTGATCCATCCACGTTGGCCTCCCAGAAGGCTGGGACTACAGGCGTGAGCCACCATGCCTGGCCTCTTATTTTTTAAGAGACAGTGCTTGCCATGTCACCCAGCCTAGAGTGCAGTGGTGCAATCACAGCTCACTGTAGCCTTGAACTGTTGGGCTCAGGCGATCCGCCACAGCCTCCCAGGTAGCTGGGGCTGTGGAATGACAGGTGCCATCGCCACAGGCTGCGGGTTCTTCATCGAGGTCACTCTTGTTTTTCTTCGGCAATATTCCTCCTCCAGCCGGAAATAAGCAATGAGAACTCCTCAGGAAAGTGGAAGTGGGTGCCAACCACTGCACCTCAGGCGCTCAGATGCGAGTCAGGGTCATTTTGATTTCCCCATATAAACTGTAGTTCCAGCCACTCAGGGAGCCAAGGCAGGAGATGCCTGAGCCCCTGAGAGCAGCACTGAGGTAATTCACATAGAGTGCAGCTGGCCAGGCTGAAGTGTATATAATTCAAGAGTTTTCAGCATATTTAGAGTTGTGCGGCCATCACCACAGTCAACTTTAGACCATTTTCAGCCCAAAAGAAACTGGGTATGCCTTGGCCATCACCCCTCTGTCTCCCCGCCACCCCCTGATCTTCCCGGCCTCAGGTGGCCCTGTTGTGGCCATGCCGTGTTAAGGGACTGCAGCACAGGGTGTTTTGCGTCCGGCTGCTTTCACGCAGCAGCGTGGTTCCAGGGTTCGTCCCCACTGTGGATTCTTCCTCGTGGCTGGGCCACAGCCCATGGTACAGAGGGAGCACGTTTCATCTGCCCGTTTGTCCACTGGTGGGCATTTGGGGGGTTTCCGCTTTGCTGCTGCCTGTGGGTGAGTTTTCATGTGGATGGAGGCTTTCATTCCTCTCGGGTGGCCGGCTGGGAGTGTTAAAGCTAGGTTCAAGCGATTCCCCTGCCTCAGCCAACCGGGTAGCTGGGATTACAGGCGCGTGCCACCATGCCCAGCTACTGTTGTATTTTTAGTAGAGACAGGTTTCATTCACCATGTTGGTCAGGCTGCTCTTGAACTCCTGACCTCAGGTGATCTGCCCACCTTGGCCTCCCAAAGTGCTGGGATTACAGGCGTGAGCCACCGCGCCTGGCATCCTGACCTCTCTTACAACTCAGCCCTGTGACCTAATTTAACCCTAAGGACCTGCTTAGAGGCCCCATCTCCAGTGACACTGGGCGTTAGGGCTTCAACATGCACATGGGGAGGGGAGGGGGGAACGACAGTCCTGTTGACAGCAAGGGGTGTGTGTGTGTGTGTGTGTGTGTGTGAACGACAGTCCTGTTGACAGCAGGGGTGTGTGTGTGTGTGTGTGTGTGTGTGTGTGTGTGTGTGTGTGGTGTGGTGTGTGTAGTGTGCCTTATTTATCATGAGGAGCCACCTCACAGGACGGGCTGGCAATTCGGAGTTCTGCAGGGTAGGTGGCCGGCTGGAGCTTGGCCTTTTAAGGTCTTCACCTGGTGGACTGGCCGAGGCTCCCTCACTGGAGGCACACCTGCTTTACTCAGGCCGCTGATTCAAATCAACCTCATTCTGGAAACACCCTCCAGCGCTCCGCCCAAAGCTGGGACGGGGCCTGCTGCAGCATAGGCCCCTTGCTGTCTTATGTGCTGCCCGTGACCGCCCAACTTGGGTTAGGAGTTTGCCTCCAGTTCTAACGGACACCCCAGGTGTATTCTAGGGTTTCCCTTCTGTGTTTGAACCTCCCTTTCCTGAAAGAATTCTGTCTTCCTTTACTCCCAATACCCAGTTCATGCAGAACTGAGGCCGGGTGTGGGTGGCCTCCTCACCCTCATCTCCACCGTCCCCAAGGGAACCCTCCTGCCTCGTCACCTGCTTTCACGCCCGGGGCTCTGACACCAGGACACCCACTCCTCACCCAGCCTGGGCCTCCATGCCCCCACCCACACAATGCAGCTCTGGCCTTGGCCCCATCTGTCTGGGGCTCATGAGGGAGCTTGAGGGAACCCTGCGGTGCCTTGTGGGCGGGACTCTCCTGGATGCTCCTCCTCCAAGGTCACAGGCAGGACCTGGCAATTGGCAGTGCCCCACCTCCCCATTTGAAACCCACAAGGAGGAAGAGGGGAGACTTCTCAACTTGGCCACCACAGAGACTTGTGGCCATCCCGGGAGCTGTGGCCAGGTGAGCACGACGCTCCACACTGGGTGTGGGTGAGGGTCTTCCAGGGACCCTGAGCTTTTTTAAGGAACAACTTGGAGATGTAATTCAGGCAGCGTTGAGTTTCCCATTGTGGGTGCACGATTGGCAGCTGTGTGTGCGGCACATGCCTTTAGAACATCTCAGCGCTCCAGACAGCAAGTCCCTGTGCAGGGCGCCTTTACCTGGAGGTGATCCAGGAGGGGCCTGTGGACTCGCAGGTGGTGAGGCGGGTGCACATTTATGACTTCTTGAGCATCTCGACGGTCTAGGGCAAACATGCTGTGTCCTCGCTGACTTCGGAACTTCCGTAGCAAGCCCACGCCACAGCTTCACAGTTGTCACAGGCTCTGCTCAGAGGTGACATTCTGGGGACCGAGCAGCAGCTCTGGAGTTAGACTTGGAGGGGCCATGCCTGGGCTGCCCTGCTTTACCTGCCGGCCTTGGTACCGATAGGTGGAGACCCAGCTGCAGTCCTGCCAGCCCACGCCCCTCACATGCCAAAGGCTCTTCCCTGCAGGCTCAGCTCAGACAGCCTGGGTCACCAGAGGTGCCCATTTTCCTGCCTGGCATGGCTGAGCATTGCCAAGAAACAACCTTGGACCCCAAGACCTCTCCCTCAGCCAGAATGTTCTCTACATGAGCTTCTCACTCTCAACTATGGTTGTGACCTAGAACTTCTCCCAGTAGGCCCTGCGGGAAGCAGAGGCTTTGCACAGGTGCAGGAGGCTCAGTGGGGAGCAGCCTCCAGAGAGGGTAGGGGTGACGGGAGGGGCTGAGAGGGGGTGGCAGGTCAGCCAGCACCTTGGGCGCTGTGGGGCGGCTCACACAGGGGTGTGACCTGGCCAGGCAATTTTGGACACACTCTGGCCGTAGGGTGAAGGTTGGGTTTGGGGACAGCCCTTCCACCAGCCCCGGCATGCTGAAGATAGACCGCTAATGAGGACTGTGCCCCTGTCAGTCCAGAAGTTTCCTGGAAGGGGCACACGACCCAGGCGGGGACTGCTGAGTCCTGAATGGTGGTGGATGGAGTGGACGTGGTGGGGGCCGGTGATGGTGGATGAAGAGGAGGCCTGGTCTTTGCAGTGTGTGTGGTGCTGTAGCCTACCAGGAAGCGGGTTGAGGAGTGGGCATCCGTGTGCCCAGCCCCCAGCCCGTGTGGTAAGGAGCCAGCCCCACAGCCACAGCCTGCAGCCTGAAAGGGAACATCTCTATCTCAGATGGTAACCTTTTCCCCAAATCTGCCCTTCTACCATGAAGAGAATGGCTAGCACTGTGCTGAGCTGCTCAGAGACAGTACCTCCAGGCACCACCTCCCTGGACACAGGGCTGGTTTTACTTCCTGAACGGGTCAGCCAGAGGAGCTGCAGCAGACTCCCACCTTGCCTGTGGCTGCTGTGCGGGCGTTCGGAGTCTCCCCACAGAGGCCGCTC